ATCTCCAGAGGAACCATTGAAATCTTGAGTGATGTGCAGCTGATCAAGACTGGAGATAAAGTGGGTGCCAGTGAAGCCACACTCTTAAACATGTTGAATATTTCCCCATTTTCTTATGGATTAATCATTCAACAAGTGTAGGACAATGGCAGCATCTATAGTCCAGAGGTGCTGGATATCACTGAGGAGGCCTTGCATGTTCGCTTCCTTGAGGGTGTTCGTAATGTTGCCAGTGTCTGTCTTCAGATTGGTTATGCCACCGTGGCCTCTGTGCCTCACTCAGTCATCAATGGATACAAGCGTGTCCTTGCCATTGCAGTTGAAACAGACTTCAGCTTCCCCCTGGCCGGCAAGGTCAAGGCATTCCTGGCAGATCGGCATGTTTAACTATGCATATGAACCGCCTGTTTGCCTTCGATGTCAGCGAACTTGACGTTTTGCAGGAAGAGTTTTCAGTTATGAAGTCAAAGATAGCCTTGCTTTGGGTAAAATCCTTGCTGAAATATTTCTCCCAGGAGCTATGTTCCAAAATAAAATCAAACACCTGTTAATTCAGCCGTCCTAGCGTATAACGATAGAATCCAGCTAAATTTTACCCCGAAAACCGCTTTAGACAGTTTCGGGGTACCCGAAAACACTCTCCGGCTGACAGGAAACTTTTCGGGGAGGGCCCCGAAAGGTTAATCAGAGGGTTTCGGACACGGCCGAAATTTTTGGGTACCCTGGTGAAGAACCCTGCATCAAGGTCCTGGATTTGAATCTGGACCTGGATCTGGATCCTGATCTTGAGACAGGGGATGATGGGGGAAAGAGGACAAGCACGTGAATGTGGCTTAGTTAGGGTACGGGGAGGGGGTTTTAGGGTGCTTTGCAAATTGTATTTTTTGTCAAAATTATATATCTTAACAGGGTTTGGCACTACTGGTAAGGCGCGACCATTGCCCCCGGGAGATCCCGGGATCGATACCCATTAGGGTCAAAAGTCCTTCCGATGGTGGAAGGCATTGCGCTCCTAGTTGATGGACGGTGGTGACCTGGGATAAAGTTAACCTGCGAGCCGACCAGGAATGGAGTTGGGCCGCTGTCGACCCGGCAGATTCCGTTGGATGCTGGTGGTGGGTGCGGAACCTGAGCGATCCACTGAGAAGTTGACTAGGGTGACTGGATGAGGGTGCCCCGAAATACCGGGGAAGGCAGGGTTTCGCAGGGTAGCTGCCACGGGCGAAGATACACCCCCCTGTTTCACACATCTTAACGACTACGACCTAGCTACATATTTTTTGGACTCGGAGACATATCCTATGTTACTACCTATTTTTTGCTTTATTTATGTTTATTTTATAACAAAACTATC